TAAGTATCTTATCTGTGCTCAATGACCTAAACTGACACCAGTTAGGCAATGCTGTACTTCAATTTTCATTCTTGCTGTTAACTCCCCCCATGCTGTGGCCTCAATCCACCCTAGCTCCTAGCAACTTCCAATGGTGCCTGTTCTGCCAATTCTTGCCTTAAGGATTCAAGATTCTAATGAACCCATCAGCACAGCTGCCAAAATCTCCTTTCTTTTCCTTCTTCCATGACTTTTCCCAAAACCTACTTTTATTGACCAAGCTCCTGGTCACCTTGCACACTATCACCAAATGTAGCATGGTGTCAAACTGTTTTCGACAAACCTTCTAAAGCACCTTGGGCCATCCATTATTTTAAAATATGCTATAAAAGTGCAAGTTTTTGGTCGTCAAATAAACAGATTTAATGTACAGCCTTTTATAGCATAAGCAAGTTAGATAGTACCTATGATAAAACAGCCATGTTTCTTTGGACAACAGTTATTGTGCAACAAAAGGATAGATAAATAACGGAAATTCTTTACATTGAAAATCTACTCAGCTCAGGTGATCACACTTGCTTTGCATTCAGAACATTTAGGTTAAATCTTCACTACAGCAACACATTGAAGTATCAACCTAAACAATACAGCTCTGTAGGATTGTATGACTGGGATCCCAATGAATTACTAAACTGCTTACTCAGTCACAAAAACTAAAGTGTAGGATCTCAGAAATGTCAGTCAAAGTCTTTCGCAAAAAACGTCAGACAAATTGTTTGTTTATTCAGCCACCCACCTTTTGTTTGGATCATCTTATGCACAAATAAAATACCTTGATTCGCTCTAAGATAAGGTTTCATCCATCGTATGTAAAGCAATTTGGGGTGTGCCAAGAACACAAAAGGACTACTTGAATATAAACTTGTTTGCCCTTGCACTTCAGGTTTTGTAGAAAATCTCAGTGGGATGAAAAACCATATCCAGAGTCTGTAATTGCATCTCTTCAATTGACATTCACAGCTTTTAAAAATTAGGTGGCACAAAACCAATGGCAGATAATTTTAAAATCAGGTTTCAAAGCTCTCAGGCGATGTAGAAACAAATGTTATTTTGTTTTTCTGTTCAACACGATTCAAAAAAAATCGACTGCTGCTGAATTATGTCCAGTACTTCTCCCTCAACTTACACCAGCAGAAAATATTTGTAGGTCTCTCTCAAGGCTTTGTATACAAAAAAGTGATGCTGTGCTTGTTATAAGTTACTACATTTCAAAAGTAACATTTAAGCCATAAAACCCTTATTGTATGAAGAATTAAAATCCCATTCCAGGAATTTAAACATTATTTCAGCACTGAGAGCACAGTATTTTTCAAAGTTTCATCATTTAGAAGCTAAGTTAAAACATGTCTGTCCTTTAAGAATTGCTCTTGAGATAGGGGTGATTGTTAACAAAGCAGAAATACTCCCTGGTCAATGTCTGCACTTCAAAAGTACTTCATTGGCTGTCAAGTGGTATGGTGTAATGTGCAGTCATGAACAGTTCTATACAAATGGGAAATCTTTCAAGTTTCCCCTTTATTACCCATTGTCCTATTATGAAGTATCATCTACTTGTAAGCAGGCCTACAAACAGTAGATACTTCCCTGAAGGATATTAAGAGGTGAACTTGTACAACGTTTGAACAAATACTTTTTCTGGTGTTATTGTAAATTCAGATGTATTAAGTTTAAAATTTTACAATCATTAGGACACCATACTCATTCATGCAGAACGTCTTGTGATGCTATTCAAAGATGTGCGAGAGAATTCTAGCCAATCGTTACAGCATGGCAAGCCTACAACAAACTTTTAACTAGTGATTCATCTCAAGGTGGATTGTGAACCCTCACTGTGCAAAAACTCTTATGTCCTGTTTACATGAATTAGTGACCACACTTCAAAACCACCTGTAAGGACGTTGAGGCCTGTCCTTCGTGAAACAGGCTGTATAAATGCGAGCTCTTTCTTCCTAGTAGCAACTAAATGAGAGCTATCACATTTTGAGGACTTCAGTGATGCCAGACCATCAGACTTATTTTTAATCAATCATATTTACAGTTTGCTTTGCTGGCTATGGAACAGTAGAATAATGGCAACAGAGCCCAGCCATACCATCCTGAAAGCACAATAAGCAACCTCTATCAGAGCAGATGGCCAGCCAGACAGACAGACCAAGGAAGAAAACCTCTAACAGCAGCTGTAGGAATATCAGAACAGTTATAAGACAGATGGCTTTTGGCATGTCATGCTTGTGCTGAGCCTCTGAAGGAGAAATTTACTTCATGCCACTTCCCTGCTTCTTCACTTAGTCCTGTAAATTTTACCATTTCAGATATGGGTTATAAATATGGGCCAAGTGCAGGCAGGTGGGATTAGTTTAGTTTGGGATTATGGTTGGCTAGACTGGTTGGACCAAAATTTCTGTTTCCATGCTGTAGACTATGATTCTATCACAATCTAACAATCTTTGGAAAGTCTCATTTGCCAATACCTCCAGAATACTCACAGGTAAGGTAATCCACAGCCTAGCCACTCACTACAGGATTAAGGTTTTACTCATGTCACCAAACGTTGCATTCACCAGTTATCTTAAACCTGCGCTGTTTCTCAATCCTTCCATTAGAAATGCTTTCTCCTCATCTACACTGTAGAGGGCCCTTATGATTCTGAATACCTAATATCAAGTCTCCTCACCCTAACCTTCTCCTACCCAAGGACATTTCTAATTTCTCCAATTAATGGAACTGAAGTTTCTCATCCCCAGAGCCATTCTTGAGAATGTTCTGCACCCTATCTAATGCCTTCACATCTTTTAAGTATAGTGGACACAATCCTGTAATTGAGGGCAAACCAATGTTTTATATAGGTTTAACATAACCTCCTGCTTTTGTACCCTACCCTTTTGATAAAGCCAAAAGACATCATAGATATTTTCTAACCATAAAACCATCACAGATCATAGAACCCCTACAGTGTGGGAGCAGGCCATTTGGTCCATTGAGTCCAAACCAACCCTCCAAAGAGCATCCCACCCAGACCCAACCTCTAACCCCGCATCCCCATTACCAATCTATCGAGCCTGCAACATCTAACCTGCACATCTTTGGACTGTGGGAAAAAACCCATGTAGACGTGGGGAGAACGTACAAACTCCACACAGACAGTCGCCCGAGGGTGGAATCGAACCTGGGTCTCTGGAGCTATGAGGCAGCAGTGCTAACCGCTGAGTCATCTGCCGCCCCATTCAATCAACCCATTATTACATATAGATATATATTCACTAGAGCAGTTCAATTCTATAGTCTTTACATATGTAGACAAACAAACCCAAGGCACTTATCGCTTATTCAAGACCATATTTACATGCATTTGAGGCACCGGGAGGGTCCAATAACTAAATGTACTTCAGCAGAAAAACCTTAGACAATGGTCTTTCTCCACTGCGCCTTGGCAGCAGCTGCCCCAGGCTTTACTGCATCCCTCAGCATGTAGCCCTAGACCTTAGAACATACGGAACATGCCAGCTCACACTTGGGCAAGGTCAATTCCTTGCTCTGGAAGCCAACAGGTTTTGGGCAGACCAAGGAGAGTCTTTCACCAAGATGACAGTCTCCAGATGTAGTCGATGATCGTCTCGGTGTGTGTCCCGGCAAACAGCTCGTAGAGCACAGAGTCCTGTGTCACAGACCTACACAGGATTAACCTTGACAAAAACCACTGCATCTCTCTCCAGACATCCTTTGCACAGGCACATTCCAGTAGATGTGTGACAGTCTCTCACCCAAACAGCTGCTTCAGGGGCAGTGTGCAGAGGCACAGACAGTCCAGGTATACATGTAGGATCTCACAAATTAATGCCCCTAACATACCTTTTGGACAAATAAGACTTGAACCCCAGCTTCCTGTCTCAGATGTAAGGACACTAGCAATATATCACAAGTGTCCATTAAGATATCATAGGCTTTATCAGCAATTTTCTCGACCTACCTTGCCACCTTCCACAATTTATGTACATATACATCCAGGTCACCTTGCTTCTATACTCTATTGAGAACTGTACTCATGTCATTGCTTTCTAATTTTCCTACCAAAATGAATTACATCTCACTTCCTGCATTAAATTACAACTGCTGCTTACTTACATGAAGTTCCAAACCATGATGAGATTTATGTAAAATCATGTAATTGATCACATGATTGACTTCAGTAATCAAAGAACAACACAGCACAGGAACAGGTTCTTCGGCCCTTCAAGCCTGCACTGTCATTTTCAGTACAACACCAGTTTAGATTGAGCATGAGACAGTCTCAGATTTTATAGAAGATAGCCATTTTTGATAATCTAAATACAATGTAAATACACAAATCTGCATACAACCATATTCCAAGATACTTCAGATCAGTACCTCAATGACAATGTAGTCTTAAAGCACAAGATCAAGTTTACACCATCCTCTAGGTGTTTCATCATACTTTCAAGCTGTGTATCGTTTGTCCAATTTGCATTTGTGTTCTGTAGCCACAGTCTCAGTCATTAATGCATCAGGAAGATTATAAAATCCTAACAACCCACGGTGGACTTGCCTTCTAAACGTTTTTCCAGTCTTAAAAGGAACTATTCGCCATTAATACACCCTTTGTTTGTCACTAAGCCAATCTTGCACTCATATTGATAAACACATTTATAGCTTAAGAAAGTGTGATGAGTAGTAGTACATCAAAACCATTTTGGATATCCAAATACACATCAAGATTATCCTCCATCTCCTCTGTACCTCTTCAAAAATAAGCTCTAAGCTAGTCAAACAAGACTTGACCTTAAGAAATCCATGCTGACTTTTAGTTAATCCAAACTTATTCAGGTCATGATTAATTTTGGCCAGCGTTATTGTTTCGAAAAAGTTTCCTCATCACTCCCCTGTAACTGCGCCCCAAAATCAGAATCATCATTCAATTCTTACATCACGATTCTTTCTTTTACCTTTTAGTTGCTTTATTCGTGTTAATTCCTCATCCGAAAATCCTGCCCAACCAGCCATACCTTACACGAAACAAATAAACACACACCCTTCCCCCCCCCAAGAAACACCGGCTACGGCACGAAACGAGGCCTACTCGCTCCGAGCGACAACAGCACCGAACCACTACGCATGCCCACAGGTGACACGTGGCAGCCGAACTAATACGCTTGCGCATTATGGGCACCATCTTCTGAAAACCACCGGTTCGCTCCGCCTTGTGACGTAAAGGCGGGGCTTCTGTGCGGCCAGACCTGCACGTGACACCGGCTGGCAACCAGCAGCACGTGATAGAGCCGTTGGTGGAGGTGTATGTCATTCGTACTACCTTCGATAAACTGAACAGGGAGGTGGGAGATAACAAGAACTGTAGATGTCGGAGTCAGAGTCAACACAGTGTGGAGCTGGAGGAACACGCCAGAGCAGGCAGCATCAGAGGAGCAGGAAAGTTGATGTTTCGGTTCGGGACCCTTCTTCAGAAATGGGGAGGCGATAGGCCACTTCTGTACCGCAGTGTCCGGATCTGGCCGACCAATCGATGTGCCTAACAGTTTGAAAATCATGTGAGAAGGCTGAAATACAAAAAGTGCTGGAGAGCTCAGCAGCATCTTTGGAGAGAGAGAAACGGAGTTAACGACTTAAGTACAATTTCCAGCGTCGCAGTATTTGGTGTTTGTTTTAGAAAACTGATTCGGCTCAGAGGGCATCAATTCAAACCAGTAAAAAAGCAAACCTAACATTATGAACTATTTTGAGTGATCTAGCCCGACAATTTTAAAAACCTAACGCGTGTATAGCTTCGATAGCTGTGTTAAATATAATGATGGAACAGAATAGGACTGAAGATGCCATCGTACTACCTCTGGTTTAAAGTGAAGTGCCTAAGTGATGTGAATGTTTTAGTGTTTGCATCCCACCCTGTCCCTGTAAACCTGCATTTCCCATGGCTCATCCACTTTCAGCACATTCCTGGACACTATGGTCAATCCACCTAACCTACCCATCTTTAGACTGTGGGAGGAAACCAGAGCACCCAGTGGAAACCCAAGCACGATTCCATCGTCCACTCCACGCTCCGTATCAACCCCACTGCACCTGGCACCTTTCCCTGCAACCACAGGAAGTGTTACGCTTGCCCTCCCACTCCCTTGGTGATATGTCCATCCTTGGGCTGCCTCCAGTGTCATAATGACACCACACGCAAACTGGAGGAAGAGCACCTTATATTCTGCCTCTGGAGCTTACAGCCCAATGGTCTCAACATAAAATTCACCAGTTCCAAAATCTCCCCACCCCTGGCATTATGCCATGTCCAACCCTCCCTTTTGTGCCTGCCTCTTTGACCTGACAAAACCTGTCCATCTTCTTTCCCACCTATCTGCACCACCCTTCCCACTGACCAATCTCCACTACCCCCTACCTGAATCCACCTAGCTTCCTCCAGCCCCACCCCATTTCCTCTATCTATTTCCGAACTCCCTTCCTCCTCCCCAATCCTGGTGAAGGGTGTAAACCGGAAACGTTGGCTTTCCTGCTCTTCTGATGCTGCCTGACCTGCTGTGTTCCTCCAGCTCATTGATTCCTCAAATTAAATTGGACAATGAGGAAGTTCTCAAAAGTTGCGATACATTATTGAATTACCTTCCAGAGGAAAATTGAATAGACATGAGTTATTACTATTGCATGGGGAGATATGTGGATATAAACTGGGAAGTACTAATTTAACAATGCATGATGTAGATACAGGAAATGCTGTTCAAATCAAGCAACATCCTTATTGACCTAACCCTCTAAATTTGGCACAGGTTCAAAAAGAGATTGAATGCTTGCTTAAAGACAACAATGTCAAAGTAAGTTGCAGCGACTGGAGCTCACTAACTGAAATGGTGCCAAAACCCGATGGTAGCCAAGAATTATGTGTAGAATATTGTAAAGTCAATGCAGTTACAAAGCCTTATTCGTATCCTATTACACATTAGGAAGAATGTATTGAGAAGGTGGGACATGCAACTTATATTTCAAAGTTGGACTTACTCAGAGAATACTGGCAGGTACCTTTATCTGAAAGAATGAAGACTATTTTGGCTTTCATGACCCTGAATGGACTGTAGCAATTTAAAGACATGTCATTTGGTATGAAAAATGCTCTGGCCACATTTCAAAGACCAACGAATAAAGTCATTTCTGGATTACCCAATTGTGTAGTGTGCATTAATGATTTAATGATTATTAGTCACACATGGAAGGAACATTTGCACCATTTATCGGAATTTTTCAATCGACTTCGGAGGCAGGCTTGGTGATAAACCAGGCTAAGAGTGAATTCACAAAAGCTCAAGCCACTTTCCTGGGCCATGTTATCAGACATGGACTGATGCCCCCATGGGATGTGAAAACAAAGGTTACTGGGGAGTTCCCATACCATCGACGAAGACTGCAGTACTATGATTCCTGGTTTTGACTGGGTTTTATTGGAAGTTCGTGCCAAACTTCAGTAGTGTGGTTGCTCCACTGACTGACTTATTGAAGAAGTGCAGAAAATTTCAGTGGAGGACAGACTGTCAGAAGATATTTAACAGCCTGAAAGCTGTGTTAGCCACTGTCCCAGTGTTAGCCACACCTAATTACGCAAATCAATTCAAGGTGGTTATGGATGTGCGTGCTGTGGGTGTTGGTGCTGTACTCTGACAAGAAGACGACAAGAAGATTGACCTATTGGGTATTTTCTCCAGAAAATTGAATACTCATCAACAGAAGTGTTCCATGATTGAGAAGGACGCCTTGCGTTAGGGTCCAGGCTACCTTCTTAAAATATTTTGAAAGAGTCTGGTCTGGTCCATAATACTATAAATATACACGTCCTGCAATATGCAGATAACTGTTGTCATTGATCATGGTAGACCACACTTGTAAGCCACTTTGTACCTCTTCAATTCTGTATACTAGTGACTCTGCCTGCTCTTGAATTTTGCCAAAACAATAGTTATATTAAGTAGACCAAATTAGTTAAATATTCCTAATAAAGGATAGACTCTGGAATATGTTGAGCATATTCCATACCTTTAAAGGTCACCATTGATGAGATTCAACACTGGAACAGTTAAAAACCAAAAGAACTGCGGATGCTGTAAATCAGGAACAAAAACAAAGTTGCTGGAAAAGTTCAGCAGGTCTGGCAGCATCTGTGGAGGAGAAAACAGAGTTAATGTTTCGGATCCGGTGACCCTTCCTCAGAACAGTTATGCCAGCTCAAACTGTTCTTCCACAAACTATTGTTTTGAGAACAAATAAATGTCAGAAAATAAACAATAGTGTTCATGTAGAGAGCAGTAATTGTCATTACACTTGTATACTGCAGTGAGACCTTGACCATATAACAGTACTAGACAATGTCCAAAAGCAATATCAGTGCATTCTCTGGATTCAATGAGAATATCATTGACCAAAACCTAGTCTCATCCTTGCAGCCAGCTCTATAAACGTTCAGGCAAACACATGCAAAATCAACTACAGTGGGCTGGTCATCGTGTTTGCATGGTTGAAAAGCACTTCATCTGACCAGTCCATCATTCCATGGGAGAACCAAGAAAGTGTTTCAAATATGTTCGCTCGTACTATTTGAAGTGCAACAGCATTGACATTAATGACTGCGTACAGCTTGCTATCAATCATTTAAAATGGTGACAACTTGTTCATGAGGTTGCCCAATGCTTTGAGGCAAAGCGTCTTGTTGTAATAGAGAAGGAAAGAAGGGAGCAAATCCTGTATTCCAGATCCTGTTAACTCTTGGAATCTCCTGCCTCATTGTCCTGTTATAATCTCAGTTGATATTACTATTGGACAAGTCAGGTCCCAGATAGAGATCTGGCTTGGTAGATCATATTTTGATTTGTTTTGGTTTTAACAAAGTGATCTCTTGCTAGAACATAAACACGCATTGCTGCAGATTTGCTTTAACAATAAATCAGATGTTTACTAGCAAAACAAATTAAGATATAATAAGATAAACCAAAGCATCTACTTCTAATATCAAATTAAAGATTTTTAAACACAGTAAAAATATAATCCCATTAATCCCAAAACTCTCCTTCATAAATTGAAAAGAAACAAAACAGCTTTTGCATAGAGATAGTAGGAACTGCAGATGCTGGAGAATCTGAGGTAACAAGGTGTAGAGCTGGATGAACACAACAGGCCGAGCAGGAAGGCTGACGTTTCGGGCCTAGACCCTTCTTCAGAAAAAATACCACTTGTACAATGCTCACTCCAGAGTCCTTGCATCTAAAACCTCAATAGTTTTAAGTCACTTGTGACTCCAACTTTTAGACTGAAACTGCAAATGTATCCAGGAAGAAGTCATTATACACCCAAGCTTCAATGTACTCCACTTTAAGTCACCTCTTCAGGGTTTTATCTTAACACTTCTAATCTGGCATTAACTCTAACTGTTCACTCTAAGGTAATCTAGTTCACTATCTATATCCCAGGAGTACTGGTCTGTACAGCTTTCCTATTCAAAGGACTGTGCAAAACTGTTCAATACTGGAACTAGAAGTATCCCTCTCTAAAGTATGGGTGCTTCCATTAAGCTTTAAAAGAAAGAACTTCTAGAAATTTCAAACAAACCTTGAGGCCAATGCTCCCTCTAAGCTGCGTGACTGCACATGGACCTTGGAGGCTCACACAGCTGAAAAGAGAATTACAGGGATCACTACTTTGACATCCCATTATCTATCTTGCTGTGTCCCAAAACAACCTAAGATAGATTTTAAAAACTCATTACTGGTGCACACAAACACATTCACTTGAAAGGCCAGCCTTAAAAACTGTTAAAAGAAATCACAGTTACAGAAATACTTGCATGTTAATTATCAACTTGAGATGCACAGAAAACTCACAGGTTATTAACTCAAAAGCCAGAACCCCAAACTTGTAACAAAAATATTAAATATCTATTTATATATCCCATAGTTTGTATCATTGCACATATATCTGTGGATTGAGAATCAGTCTATTCGGTCGCATGAAGATCAAGGGCAGAAACTCATGTCCCTAAGTAGATGCCATCCCTGAATCAAGAAATCACTGATGCCTGCCTCTAACAGTTTTTTTTGTGAAGGTAGCAGTAAGAAACTTCCCCATTCCACAGCATATAG